TCACCGTGTCACCTGGAGAACCTGGAAATTAGTTAATATAATATATTATGTCCCACTTAAAATTCCTTATCACAATGCTAGCTCCCATGCTCCTTTGCAGTTTCAACACAGAAGTTAGTTTTTCCACTACTGCTCCACATACCCATAATAGGATTGAACTAACTAAGAAGGGATGTAAATTGGACATCATCACCTATGTTTCACAAACATTAAAAATATAATGCTAATATTCACAGAATCTTCCGCCTAGTGCAGAAAATCTGTCAGAGAAAATTTAGAGATTTGAATACTCTTACTTCTTATATTTTCAGTTGGCACTTAATTTGTTTTGCTTTGGAACTACAGTAAGAATCTGAAAATTTTTTCTAGAAGCAAAATTCATGTATTAATGAAGATTTCTTTCTTTTTTTTTTCCCCCCAGTCTTCCGGGTTCATCAGTGCATCTGCAGATGGTGTATTTTTTCCAAAGAGTCCCAGGCAATTACTATCTGAAAAAATGATCAATGCAGTCCCATACATAATAGGAGTAAATAACTGTGAATTTGGATGGACACTTCCTAAGGTAAGAGACTTATAATGTCGTTATTTATATATCATCTTGTTAATATAAGATTTTCTAGTAAATATGATTCTCTGTATCATGCAGTTAATGAAATTGCCTGCTTACACAGATGGTCTGGATGAAGATGTTGCACGTCAAGTTTTACAAAGCCTCTTAGCATTATCACTTACGGTAAGAGACCATTTTCAGAATAACCCAGTGCTGCTTCTTCACTGGTCTGGTTCTACATTTGTACTCCTGGAGGAGTATATTTTAGAGGCAAACTTTGTTCTCTTTGACAGCTTCCTACCATGGGGCAGTAATGGGCAGCAGACATGGTGTACTCCTGTTGCCACTAGTGTTTGAAAATACACTTTAGATTTATATCCTAAAAGTCCCTCTTTTTTAAAAGGAGTGATTCAGGTACCTAAACATAGATCTCTTGTGGCATTTTAGATACCCTAGGTTATCCAAGACATGCATGGTACCAGCAAGTACGACACAACCTATTCAACACACCATTCTGAAGCAGTAGCTGGAGACTAGAAAGGATAACTTGAGATGTTTAAAATGGCACTGAGAGACTTATGTTTAGATAACTTGAGCTTTTGCTTCCCTGTAATTTATAAACCTCTCAGCCTTCTGGTTCCTTTGTGCTCTCCTGAAACTATTAAATGTAGAAAAATGCAGATTAATAGGTAAGAATTAAGGACTTTATAATCATGGCCAGTATACTCAGTGTCACAGACATCCATCATGAACTTGGAAAGCCAGAGCCCAGGCTTATTCTGAAAGGGAGTAAATTATGGCCACCTATAACAATAAATGAATTTTATGAAATCCAACAGGATTTCTTTTCTCTTATGAGGATTATTTCCACAGAAGGGAGAACAGACTTCCATATCTATTTACCAGCATCACCGAATGATGTTTATTTAAAGATGTGTGATCTTTAGATCTTGCAAACCTCTTTTCTCTGAGAACACCTATACCCGGTAGCTGTGTAACTCCCAATGCTGAGCTCTGAGCCACACTCTGGCACAGTTGAGAGTTTTCTGTAGAAGAAGGTAATGTTTGGGGTTTAGCCAGGGACGTGCAGATGGCACACTCAATTATTGCTGTTACTCTTTATAATATTCATCATCATTATAAGAAGTATTTTTGTTTTTCATTTCAGGGTGTTACTTCTGAAGTTGTTGATCGAGTATACAATGAGTACATAGGGAATGCAGAAAACCGTGCTCAGGTGCGAGATGGCCTTCTTGATGCAATAGGAGACGTTTTGTTTGTTCTTTCAGCCATTGAAGTGGCTAGATACCATAGAGGTGAGTCTCTAATTCAGCATCTCTTAGAAGAAATGTAGAATTCCATCTTGGGGTGTGTTTATGGACAGTATGCATCGCATTTATTATCCAAAGAACTGATAGCATTTTTATTTTATCAAAATAGCTTGTAATGAAAGTTTATCATCTTTGGTGGCAAGTATTTTCAGCTCTCAAACTAACACTCTTCTGTATATTTTCTACTAGATGCTGGCAACCCAGTCTACTTTTATGAATTTCAACATCGACCAAGTTCAGCGACAGGTGTTGTACCAGAGTTTGTAAAAGCAGATCATGGAGATGAGATTGCCTTTGTCTTTGGAAAGCCATTCTTAGCCGGTGATGTATCCATGCTTACTGAAGTATTCCTTTTAAAACATCATTATTATTAATGTTACTCAGAGGAGAGCTTTTAGAATAGACCTTCTCTCTTAGAAACACTGAAATCACCATAAGCATTTTCTGCTGTTAGCAGCAGTTACTTTTCATGAAATCATTCATCTGCAGTTCTCTCCTAGAGCTCTGCTCAGGTAAAACTCCCATAGCTCAGAGAACAGGTAGAACTGATTACATTCTATTGGAATTGATATAGCTGCTACTTTTTCGATAATTTAGTTTTTAATGTTGCCATTTCATCTCTCACTTTGCAGGGTATGCTACAGAAGAAGAAAATAAACTTAGCAGGACTGTTATGAGATACTGGACTAACTTTGCTAGAAATGGGTGAGAACCATAATGCTAATTACAGCTCAAGTTTTGTCTGTGCTGCCTGAAACATAATAGCAATATGGTGGTTCCTACAAATTTGGCAGAATTCAAGATAAATATTGAAGAAAATTATTTCTATTCTTAATGATTGCAAGAAAAACCTTTTAAATGAACCTGCAGACTAAAAAAGAAAAAAAAATCCGAGAGCTATTACTCCATCTGCAATGGAGTTTTAGATCCAAAAGTAATGGCAATTATTAAATGCTTGCTATTCCACTGATGCATTTTGACAAAAAAATCCAACTATTCAGGTACTAGAATCACATAATCTGAGCTCATGTTAGTTTTTTTAAACGCTCTCAGCCTGAGCAGTCAGAGCACAATTGACAGGCAAATGGAAAGCTAACATTTCATTGTATTATTTCCAGAAATCCCAATGGAGAAGGCTTCGTCCATTGGCCTCAGTATGGTCTGGAGGAAAGATACCTGGAAATAGACCTAATGCAAAAGGTAGCAAAGAAATTGAAAGAACGCAAAATGGAGTTTTGGATACAGCTCACAAAACAAATGATGAATCAAAGAAGAGAACACACAGATTTGTAAGAGTTGTGGAGGGTATAGTTTGCTTTTAAAACCTGAAGTAAAGTCAAACAAAATTAGTTTGTCAGGATGCAGAGTTTAATAATGACCTTCTAATTCACTATTATGTAATCTGTTGTCATGATCACAGTGAAAGGAGAGCATCAAGGGAAATTTGGAATGTTTGTGGGACTAAAAATCACTATTTAATGAAGCAAGCAGAAAAAACCCCACAAAAACCCCACAGGCTCACAAAGAACATGGTATCTACTCAGTGGATATCTTGTTTTGTAAACTGTTATAAATAAATGTTGCTTTTGACTTTTTGGAACTTCATTTTCTTTCACTTAACTGATATAGGCTAATTCCAAGAGATTAAATCACACCCAAGAAGCCAGAAACGTGCCCAGTTTCGTTCTTCAACCTAAAGGGTTTCAGATATAAATTTTCCAGCTTTCTTTGCAGGACATGAGTCTCAAGGCTCTAGGGTTTTCACAGACTATTCTTTGGTCTGATTATCTGTTCTTCAACCCTTCCTGGCAAAGAATTCACTGGCTGGAGGGAGGAAGCATTGCTGGCAGGACAGACTCCTACTGAGACAGAGGGGAGAGCAAAGTATGATGTTGTTCACTGCATGTTATTAGCTCAATGTTGTCTGTGGGCCCACGAAGGGAAGACCTGCTGATCTGAAAAGCATGCACCCCCAGTCTTCCTCCTTTCAAGGGCACTAGCAGCTGTGACCACATTTTTGGCATATCTGGAATGTGTCAGGGCACACAGGTAGTGGAGTGGCTTTTTTGCAAAGTTACATGACAAGCAAGATACACTTGCCAGGCACAAAGGAACACACAATGTAAGCATCCAAGAACTCTACTCATAACAACAAACAAACAGCAGTAAATTAGCTCTAACCACCCCCTTAACTGGGTGTTGAGCTCACCCTCTCATCTCCTGCAGCGTCCCAGTCTACTGCTACTCTTCCCGGGAGGAGCTGTCACAGTGACACAGTGGCAGCCCAAGTTCCTGCCTGCAGGTGTTGATTTCTTGAGGATGTTGTCATCTTCTTCCTCACCTCTGCGTTCACTTGGGCTTGCATTTACACATTGGTGGACCTTGAGCAATGTGATCTATACTGAGCCTCTGCCTGGCTATCCCCTCTTGTGCGTTTTTTCCATAACTTGCAAAAAACACTACTTGTTAACCACTACTTGCATTACTTGCAAAAATCATTAAGTAACAGCTAATTGTAGCAACAGTGTTCAACCATACTGCTAGTTCTGTCACATATTTCTTAATGCAGCATATGGGGCACACTGGGCATTTTATTCCTTCCCCTGTTTTGATCTGAAGTAGCCTTGAAGTCCATTATTGGTTTGTTTGTTGAATTAGTGTTTCTGTCTTGTAGGTTCACAAAAATCATTATCCTAAACAAGATAGAAAAAATCCCATGTGTTTGTGAATGCAAAATCATAGGTATAACTTCTGTGGAAAAGTGAGGCCCGTTATTTTATTAGGCACACACGATACCAAAGTAGTTTCTGACTGTGTGAGAAGAAGCGTTCTGTCCATCTGTCTACTTTAAAACCCCCAATATAAAGAATGGTATGCTTTCAAACAGTTGAGAAAGGAATAATACGAGGGCCACAACGTATAGGTTACCTTTAAGTAGGAGAGTCCTACATTATGCTCCAAACCGCATTTTATTTTATATCTTTAATATTAACGGTCACTTGGCATAGATACCCAGTTCAGCTCAAAGTAACAGTACATATACATTAAATACAAATGTATGCACTGTGCACCTATATTTGAAGAAATTCTTAGCAGTATATTTAGTTTATAATATTCAGCAAGAACTGCTGCTGTTGTTCTGTTTTTCACATTCTGTCAATAGAACACTTAATCTTTTTTAAAAATGTATTAATTATATATAATTTCTATAATTGCCTTTCTAAGTCGGTGACGAAGTATGTTTGTTACGTGCCATTACTGATTCTCAGGTCATCTCTCCTCTGGCAAAGGGTTTGTTCCATAGGGCTATGTCAGACAGTGGAATTTAGACAGAACCCTGATAACTGACCATCCTGAAAAACAAGCTGAAGTAATTAATTCTAAAATGCATATTGTTCCATATTTTAGTATTTTAATGGTATTCAATATTATTACTGACCTTTTAATGTTGTAGCTTTCCACACTGTGAAAAAAATCCATTTGCATACCCATTCATGATACTGCTTTGTTCAAACTTGCAAATACTGAATATTGTGCATGCTCTTGTAACTTACTTATGTCACAGCTTTTACATGAAATATGACTCTGGTCTTCAGCTGTGATGGAAGGAATTGGAGTTCTGCAAAATCACTTAGCATTCCCAGCACAGTGGGAAGACTGTTCACTGTGACTCAGTTGCTGAAGAAAGTACTGCCCACAGAGGAGTAAGTAGCATAGTTAATATAAGAAAATTGTCAGTCTTTTGTTACACTAATTGCAGAGAATTGCAACTATGCTGGCTGTGAAAAACCTGATTCAGCTGCAGTGGTTCAGTGCTCAAGAGAAAAAACAGCAAAAGAGATTGTAAGCATAACCCTAAAAACGGTAGCTAGTGCTGTACTTTGTTTTGTAAGACAGAATAAATCCTTCTCTAAGATTAAGATAACTTGAAGCAAAACCATTGTATGATGCTTGCTTGGCTTTTGCAGGACTTCACAACAATAACACTGCACCTGAAGAATCTGAACAGGAACATTCCTTGCCCTCCTTGCGGTCTGTTCTTACGCGTTTCAGGGTAGAAGTGCATTCATCACAGGAATGTAAACAATCAATGCTTTTTTTTTCCCTGGGAACCCGGCAGGCTCACGAATACCAGATAGGAGAGTTAATATCGCAAAAATGGAACTGGCCAGCTTTGCGCGGTTCTTTGTGTCATCAGCAAGGCACTTCCCAGCAGCTGGCTGATTTTTTAATAGTGTGCAAGAAGGAAGGACTACATATTGGAGGAAGTAATACTTTCTGGGAAGTACAGTCATTGAGAAAGCTCTTCTTTTTGTGAAACTGACTTTTTATTAGTAGCTGTTTTATCTGTTGCCATAACCAGTTTTTCCGTATCACTGTGCTGGCTTGTCAGTTCTTTTGCAATCTTACCACATAAGCTTATTTTGACCCTGTTACTCATCCAACCCTAAGAAGCTGGAGTTAGAAACTGGTTAACAAGTCACTATCTGTCGTGAGCATTCAGTATCAAATTCTTGTGCGGTACTAAAATTATGTAAGAGAAACTCAGAACCAGGCCTGAAACTTAGTTACCTTTGACATTATATATTATAACTAAAAATAGGTCACTTGGGTGATTTCTTTAGGTCAATACTGAGAAAGCTGGATTATCCTTCCACCAAAACCAATATGTAAATAACAAAGGGGTACTTTTTTCTCCAGATTCTCTCTTTATTGACACGGTTGTGGACAGTGTATTTTTCCCTAAAAACCCATCACTGCTACTAGCTGAAAAAAGGATCAGTGCAGTCCCGTACATAATAGGAGTAACGAACCATGAATTTGGATTTCTATTTCCAACTGTAAGATGCATATAATGCCTTTTATTTATACGTTGATTTATTAACTATTCAGGAGCACAGGAGCTCACCTCACTCTGCAGGTGCTGAAATATCCTCCTTTTGCAAAAGGATTGGACAAAAATGTAGCATTCAACATTAAAGAGCACAGTCTTTCACGGTAAGAGGCAATTTTAATGTGCTAATTGACTTTTATCTAGTGAGGGTTGGTACCTCACTAGTCCCTGCTTTGTTTCCCCCTTCAGTTTCTTGGACACAGACACTGGAGAATTCCGCCATGTACCGTGATGTCCTCGAGCTAAGTGCCAGATGTAAGGGGGGGGCATTATGTTGCAATGCCGGCTCTGCAGAGGGTCCATCCGTTCAGGGTCCCTGAGGCTGGTTCCCAAGCTCCAAGAGACACTACATGTATCTGAGGAGAACAACCTATCCCAGAAGGGAATGGAGTCATGAGCTTGAGATAATTCTGTGAAAACTCACAGTAAGATTATTCAAATTTTGTTTTCTTTATGTGAGTGATTTCCACTTATGGAAAACAGCAGGCATTGCTGACTGGTAGTACCTGAGCAGGTGTCAATGTAATTCCCCTATGAGCTCCTGCAAACCTCTCGCTCCTCTTGCTTCCAAGTGGAGCTCTAACGAGTAACACTGAACCACCAGCTCTGAGTTTTGATTACTTGTTTTGTCTATTAGACGATCCAGTGTACTTTTATGAATTTCAGCATCAACCAAGTTCAACTACATGTTCAAAACCAAACTTTGTAAAAGCAGATTGTGCAGATGACATTGGCTTTGTACTTGGAAAGCCCTTCTTGGCAGGTGTCTGGGTTTGCTAAATAATTTGTTCACTCATCATTTACACTTGAGCACTCTTAAGATAAAAACATTTCTAGTAAAATAAGAAATTTTAGTATTCTTGCAGAGGACTGGACTCATGCTCTTCCAGGATCTTCTTTATCTGGAGTCAGCTCTGGGACGCGCATTGGCGCAGTTCCCCCAACACGGAACGACTCCCTCCCGCGCTGCGGC